CGGTGGCCGGGAGCGGCCACTGCACTCCAGTCTGGGCGACAGAGTGAGACACCAACTCAAAATAAATAAATAAATAAATAAAGGCAAAAGAGGAAAAGCTAGTGAAACAGGAGAGGCTGCTGGAAGAAGGAGGAGAGGAGATGTCTGTAGAAAAAAACTAAACAAAAGAAAGGTACTAGAGAATGCAGAGCACTTGTTAGAATAGTTAGCCTCAAAGGGAGGTTTTTTTTTTCCAAATGAGAGAAACAAGATGGTGACAGGCATAAGAATAATTGTAGCTAAGATGACTGAGCATGTAAGCCAAATGTAATTTTTGCATGTACAAACTTCATACCTGTTTAAGGGGCTCAAAACAACACTCGTATGTAAAAGTTTCTTTCATGCCATTAGCAACCATATTTACAGTTTTATTTTATACGGGTCCAATAATTATCCTGTTCTATTTTTTTTTTTTTTTTTTTTGAGTTGGAGTCTCACTCTGTCGCCCAGACTGGAGCGCAGTGGCCGCTCCCGGCCACCGCAGCCTCGCCTGCTGGGCTCAGGCCATCCTTCCACCTCAGCCTTCCGAGTAGCCGGAATTACAGGCGCGCGCTACCACGCCCGGCTAACTTTTTGATTTTACTGTAGAGATGAGGTCTCGCCTGCCCAGGCGGGTCTCGAACCCGCAGGCTCAGGCAATCCACTCACCTCAGCCTCCCATAGGCATGGGATTACAGGCTGAGCCACCGAGTTCTTAATGATTAAAAATAATCCTTTAGGGCAACCCCCTCGGGTCCCCTTCCACTATGGGAGCTTTTCTGTCTTCTCAATAAATCCTGCTTTCTAAAAAAAAAAAAAAATCCTTTGAATAAGATTTTAACATACATGTGAGAGCATATGAATTTGTCTAATACCTGAAAGCCCCTTCATTTTGCCACTTCTCAATGTAAAACAGATTTTCATTTTTGTGAACCTAGAAACTTATTTTGTACCCAGGTCTAGCACATCTTACTGACTTTGTAAAGTGTGTGACTTCTCAGACTTTCATACATGAGAAACAAGCAGGGCAATTTGTATTTAACTATTATGTATAGGAGGGAGAGAGATAAACTTTCCAGAAACTGTGGTTTTATGTTCGTGTCCAAGCAAAATTCAACTAGTTTTGTGTTTTTGAGTTAGGTATTTCCTTAAAAATCACTATTAATATTTTAGTTGATTATGTAAGATCTGCATTATGAAGCAATGATTCCAGAAGTTCGTAACAAGCAAAATGTCCAATTTCTAGTCTCCACTTAATATTATTCATTCCCTCTCAGGAAAAAGAAGAGCGGTACCTTATGTTATTTTCAAATATCTTGATAATGTTATCTGCAAGTCCTCGGATGAGTGGCTTCATCTATCAGGTTAGTACATTTCATATAAAACAAATAGCAGAACCTATAATGAAAACAGGTTTCCATTCATATACAATATCTCCACTATGCCACTCAAAGTTCAAGACTGAAGAGGCAGAATGTTCGGACCCGTCGTTGAAATTCAATAGTTTATAAAAGCAGATGCTCCTTAGATCAAGGACCTTTGTATTAGTATATGAGCTTATCCTGAATATCCACTGTTCTGGTTATAAGCTAGGTTTTGAATGTAAAAATGACAATCTAAGTTTGCAATTAGATCAATTAGCATCAACATTTTATAGGCCCATATCATTATTGTCTAGAAAATATAAAGCTGGAACCTGTACCTATGATTGTTTTATTACAGTCATATCACATGATTCAGGTTTCTAAGATGTAAGTCATTAAACGCCTTAGGAAATTAAACTTCTCTCAGTCTGTTCCCAAGAAACAGAGTATTCTAAGTTACTATTGCTTGTTATATCTTGGTCTGGCAATTACTAATTTTCATAAAATGTGAGCCTCTACTTTGCTTACTGATTCTTGTGAAAATGTGTTAGAAAAGGAAACTGTTTTGTAAATCCCTATCTTGTGGTTTGTAGAGTAGTTAGCCAAACACAATTCACATTTTCCCTTTGCTTTCTTGACTGATTAACATTTAGAGCAGGAAAACATATTATCTATTGACAGACTGGAGAAATACGTCCAGCCATAATTCAGTAGTGATTCCTGAGAGAGTCAGAAAATCTAAGTGAAGTAAACAAGCAAAGACACATATAACCATAGAATTAATGGGAATGTTCTTTTTCTGATAGGGAAAAATACCAATAGCAGGAATGGTAGTGACTAGATTAGATGAAATTGAAGGGAATGACTGCACATTTGAAATCACTGGTAAGTAATTTTCTCTTTTTCATGTATCTACTTCAAGTCCTTTTTGTAATGAAGTGGAGTTTAAATAAATAAATCCTATTATTTTCTGTTATATAGTCCATGAGCAAGTTTTACATGGACATGGTAAAGTATATTCCATTTCTTGGGATAATTAGGGTACAGTGAGAGAACAGAGAAGTCTCCTGGTCATTCAAAAGCCTCGGCTTTGCCATTAGTTTCAATCTTCCATTGCATAAGAGCTACTTGTGAAAGCTAAGGAATAACAAAATGGACTGATGTAAATGTAATTTTCTCTTCCTCTGTCATCTATTTCCTGGTGGTTGAGGAGCCAAAGATGTGTACTTTTATCAGCAATCTTACCATCAGCCTATGAATTTGCAAGATTTGGTTGTGTTTCTAAAAACTGCAGAAAAGTCATGAGACTTTCTTCACAAATTGAGCAAAATGTCAGGCCTCAATAACACTCCCTGATATTTTGGCCTGTTATCCCTTTTGCCAGGCCTGTGTGATTTACATGTAATAGCCACACTGTGCTGACATGGCACAGTGGCCAAGACTGGGACCTTGGCCCCTGACCTTACCCTCTTCTTTCCCAACAAGGAGCCTCAGATTTGGTTTTCATCCAGATTGTAACCTGCCTTAGTTGGATCTTGTTCCAACTTTGATATTAGGGGAACCAGAACAATATTCTCATTTTAGGTTATGAACTAGATGAACTCTGTACTTAAATTTTCAGATGGTGAGTTTGTTTATAGTGAAGTTTTACACTACTTCTAAGATTCTGTATGTAGTAGAAATCAAGGACAGTTTTGTAAATCCGACATTAATATTTATTTACCTTATTATCATTGCATATTTGTTCCTGATATAGGAATTTCAACAGTTAGCCCATAGGTATGAAAACTCCTGAAAATAGACACCCAAATCCTATTTGCATGAAGTATGTTCATGAATGAGACACACTCAAGGTTATTTTTGACTTTTGTTTCAAATGCTCACAACTGGATGACGTAGGTAACATAGTAGAGAGAATCGTGGTCAATTGCAACAACAACCAGGACTTCCAGGAATGGTTGGAGCAGCTGAACAGGCTGATCAGAGGACCTGCCTCTTGCAGTTCATTATCCAAAACATCGTCGTCATCATGTAGTGCTCATTCCGTAAGTAGTCCATTTGTTCTGTCCAGGGATTATTCAGTCTTTTGTCAAATCCTGCCTGCAGAACACTTACAAGAAGCAGCAAGCACATGCTTGTCTTTGGGTAGTCTATATTTGTAGATTTTGAAGTACAGTTAAACCTCACTAATTCTGATTTCTTAGTGTGAGGCCCATCCAAACTAATAAAAAGTTTTACTTAGAGGTGTGTCGTTTTGTTTGGCAGGATTTAGATGCTCCAACTAACTGCTAGCAAAGTGTTTCTAACCAGAAGCCCTGCTAAGAAGTTTTAATGATAAGCAAGACTTATTTTAATGAGCTATCATTATTCTCGTATTAACATGTGCTAAATGAAAACAAATGGTTTACCTCCCTAAGTACTTAAACATCTCCATGTCATCTCACTCATGTTCTCACATTTGCTCAGTAACTTTCTTCAAAGGCAAACTTTTAGCATTGTCTCTTTCCAAGTTATCACAAATTTAGAATTTGGAATTTGAATTGATGAGATTTTACTGTACTTGCTGAGTAAAATAGAAGATATGCTGTGTTGTTTGTTAAAATTCAAACCTGTGATGCCAAAATTTCAGTTTTGAGCACTGTGTGTTGTGGTGGGAAGAACATGGGCTTTGGCTTCAGATCTGGGTTCAAATCTTGGTTTTGCCAATTACTAGTTAGTTACTGTACTTTGGTGAGTCTATGTCTTATGGTGTTCTCATGAGATAACGTATTTAAGCACTTTAATAGAGTGCCAACAAATCACTGAACTCAAATATTGACTGTTACTCCACTTTCCTCCCTTACAGAGGAAAATAATATCAGACTTTAAATTCCAGAACAGAGAGAGATCATGGGATCATGGGATGTTGAGTCAATTTTGTGTTATTCCTTAGAGACCCCATAATCTTGGCTGGAATGTGCCAGTTCTCAAACTGGAGACTTTTGTTTTTCCATCTCTCCTTTTCTATGGCTGGCTTTGCTGATCCAATGAAGCTATTGTTGTTCTTTCACTGTGTGGCACAAGGTCGGGTTCAGATGGCAGATTGCCAACATCTCATCAGACATTTTCCCAGTCTTTTAGCTCTACTGGACAGCCCCGAGGACCCTTGGAGCCTCCTCAAATTATAAAACCGTGGAGTTTAAGTTGTCTACGACCTGCACCTCCACTTAGACCATCCGCAGCACTAGGTTATAAAGAGGTAATTTTGCTACATATGGTTTGAAATGCTTCTGACAAGTTAATTTCATAGTTTTATTACAAATAGTTGTGGGAATGTTCTAGAAATTTATGATAGGTGACACATGTCAGTCAGTCTTGAATTGCTAGACTCAGTGATTTTTTTTTCTTTCTTAATTTTCCATTTCCCCAATTGTCCATCTACAAGTATGTATTGAATGTCCACAGGGTCTATGTGCAATGCCTGTTTTTCCAGTCTCCTCCTGAAGTGCCTGTGGTTTCTTTATGTTGGTTATGATAATTATTTAAATTAATTAACGATGTACTCACATCTCACACAGGAACCACTTCATTGTAGTTGAATTTCCAACCAAGCAGACTCAATTCAGTGTCTGGATCATTTTAATTTATTTGAACCACGCCATGAAAGTGATATTTGCTGCAGTTGGAAAGAGAGATGAATTTAATGAAAGAAATGTCTTTTTGAAAGAGACTTCTCAGAGATAACCTTAAAGGACATTTGATATTTGGGTAGTGTGGGGATTTCAAGGTTTTATTTTGTTTTGTTTTTTTCCTTTCAAAGTTGCAGTCAGGAAATGTCAGTCACTGGCTTCTGTAACTGTGTGGAGCGTTACTTTTTCATCCAAACAGTGGCTTTATCCCTAACTTGTTTCGAATCATTCCAGATTTCAGAAAAGGTGTTCATTTATTAGTAGCTGTTCTTGTTGAGTGAAGATTAAGTTTGTGACAGCTATGAGATGAGTCTTAGAATTGCAAAGGCAGCATATATTTCTAGATCAAAAGTGTGTTTTGATGAGTGTTGCAGACTTAGCTCAATTTTGAGTGTGTTTTGATTTAAACCACCATGCTTCTGTTTCGATTAATTGTTGCTGCCAACTCTAAGTGCAGTAAAAATAGAACAATATTTGGACAGTGGATAATTTTTTGATCCTTTGGAATTAACATGATAGGAAAAATAATCCATGAGCTGAATCTCTATTACATAACTCTATTTAGAATTTGACCAGAAATTAGTCCTACTGATATGCTTTGGAAATTGACCTGCAATTCTTGCAATCATCCAATTTTCTTCTTTGATTACCTAAACCGGGAGTGCCACTTCATAGTTACCTAAGTCCCATTTGTAATGATGGACATTTTGTAATTGTCAGTTACTAAGTTCAAATTAAGGTGAGCTTTGAAGGGTAAAGTTGACTTAATCCTTCACATAACTAATCTATTAAAACTAAGGCATGATTACTTTGTTTCTGCTGAGGGAAGAGAGTTATTAATATATCCCTACTACATAGTGTGTATTTCAGTTATTTTCAGCATTCGTTATTCTGCACAGAACTGTATTCCTTGGGCTTTTGCATGATGATTTTGCTTCTGAAACTAATGTGGGAAATGTGATGATATTCTCTCTGTGTAATTTATGATAACACTAACATTTCAAATGTTGTTTTAGAATTATTGATAAATGGATTTGGTCATTATAACCATCGACCTCTCACGCTCATCTTCTCTTTCTTTACATATTCATTTTAGAGGATGTCTTATATCTTAAAGGTAAGGGTAGAACAATATCTTTGGCTTACAGTGACATCATAATACTATGCTGTAACCTTTGATGAGTAAAGCTTTCCCTTTTGCTGGTTTTGTCTCTTGTTATAATTGGTGGCTAAAATATGAAGATGCAATTCTGACATGTAAGTACGTTCTTCAAAAAGCAGGCTCATGTGAAATATGTATAAAAATGTTGCCATGCCTCAAAATGCCCCTTTCCTGTTTTTTAAATGTTTTTTCCTCTTATTTTTATCACATGAGAGTTTTTCATTTCTGCCTGTTTTCAAGTTTTAAGTAGATCACTGTGACTAAGTGAAAGAAATTAAATTCTTTGTTTCATATATTTTAAGGTACTAATTATTATCTATGCTTTATGTACATATATTGCGTGGAAGATTGGAACAAGGTGATCATGTGGGTTTTTTTCCTAAGTCTAGATTCTAATTTGTATACTTGGATATTGATAATGAGCATTTTTCCCCACCTGCTGGTTATCTATACGACAAAAGCAAATTTATTAACTGCCACTTCTTTTATCTACTAATTAAAAACATAGTTTTATATGTATATGGTTAAACTTGGATGTGGGTATGTTACTCCAAGCCCCAAATTATTTATCATTTGGTTCTCCTCTCTGACTGTGGGAAGATTAGTCTCTCTGCCTTCATTTTCCCATTTGCCAAATTAAAATCATATTCTTCTTTGTAGGACTGTTGCTAAGTAAAAAATATTTAAATAGTTTTGAAGTTCTTTGAAAAGTGATAAATACCCTGTTGGTGGTTACAATTGTTATTGTTATTGAATTCCCCTAAAACTTTATCAATGCGGAAGGCAAACCAAGTTAGAAATGCTGCTATTTTCCAGGGTTGACACCCATTACTTTCTCTGCAGATAGTACCCTAAAGGCATTTGGCCTCCTGGAGAATCTGCCACAACTTCAGTAGGCTCACTCCATTCTCATTTCTACCTCTATGGAAATTGAGAGGATGATGTCATTGCCTCTGTTTTATTTAACCTTTTAGAGTTTATTGGAACCATTTTTATAGTGTATAGTATTAACTTTTGATGGACTCCTGAGATTGTCGAAATACAAAATAGGTATTCTATTTAATTGTACTTGTTCTTTTGAATTTTTGTGTGTATGGATATTTTTTTTTTTTTTGGATAATTTTAATTCATTAAGAAACTTCTATCCTTACAGGAGTCTAGTAAAAGCCCCAAAACGATGAAGAAGTTTCTTCACAAAAGAAAGACCGAGAGAAAACCATCAGAGGAGGAATACGTGATTCGGAAAAGTATGTATTTTGTATTTTCTGAAAGTTGTTTATGGACAAATTAACAAAATAATCTTTTTTTTTTTTACATGAGAATCTTTAAAAAGAGATCATTAGAGAATTTTTTCTTGGCATTATCTGTTAGATAAATAAAAATGCTTGGAGAGTTTTTGTTACCTCTAAGACTTTGAAATAAGCTGCCTTCATCACCTGTATCATTTTCTTTTTTTCTTCTTTTTTCATATTGAACACTTTGCTCCATTTGGTTTAGAACCGCAAACAAAACCCATTTACTATGGATACATTTTTTTTCCCTCTTAGTTTCTGATCCTTGAGATATTTTCCTTTGCAAAGATAGACTAAATAGACCTAAAGGTTGAAATCCTTTTGGAAGCTCAGTGTTCAGGCATGTTCTCAGTTAGCCAAAGAAGCAGCCTGCTGACATCTAGAAACATGGCTTGCTTTAGAGACAGACTGCAAAGTCAACCAGCCAACTGGTATGGACATATTTGATTATATGGCTGTGAACACGGTACCTTGGGACACAGGTGAAGGAGCAAGTGATGTCTCACAAAAAGGTGGCAAAAGTGTATGTATTAGTCAAAAATATAGTTTGGATAAATCTTTGCTCAACTCCAGCTTCAGCACGCCTCATCCCCCACCCTGCACCTGGGTGTGCACATCAGCATATTAACAGGATGTTGCCATCCAGTCATTCAAGAATGAGTTTAGTGGATGGGGCGGGGTGGGGGGCGGGGAGAGGGATCAGGGAGGAGGGAAAATCAGCGACTATGCTGACTGGTTGGAAAAATGGGTGAGGTTAATGGGGGAAAGTGTCCTAGAGAAGGTGAGCCTTGAAATGTAAAGTGGAAGAAGGCTGTGGTGTACCAGATGAGAGCTGAAATCGGCACCAATCCCAGTGCTGTGCTTCAAGAAGCCACTGGTAGCACTCCTCCCCCGACCATGTAGAGTTCTGGGCATCAGAAGCAGGACCCCTCCATGCTGAACTCACTGAGGTTGACCCCAGAGCTCTATGGCGATGCTGTCACTCTTCTCCATCACAAGGGTTGGACAGCTCTCTTTCCTGCTTTTTACAAACACTACTCGCCAGCCATCCCTGGCAGTAGAGTGTACTACAAAATTTTGAGGGTCCAGAGGCAAATACCTGTGAAAAGTCACTGTTAATTAAATTTGACAGGCACAGCTGCTCTGGAGGAGGATGCTCAGATTCTTAAAGTGATCGAAGCCTACTGCACCAGCGCAAATTTTCAACAAGGCCATGGCTCAAGTAGGTTCCCCCAAATGACTTTTTCTAATGAGTGATGTTTCTTCTTTACTGCTTGCTATCTCTTAGAAAAAGAGAGCAGCCACCCGGATGGGTTGCAGGGTGTGGAAAGCAGGTGACATGGTGCAGAGCAGCAGTGCAGGACTGCATCTTTCAGATAAGGTGGTTTTAGCAACCAAGTGGTTTGTTTACGCACTGTTGTTTTTTACCCAGAAAGAGAGATGCAAGAGTAAAAATGTTGGAGATGATAGAAATGAAAACAAAGTTTTAAACCATCGTTCTTCTTTGAAGTACACAGATACCTTCACCAACACTAGTTAGGAATTAAAAAGCCCAGAGAGTTCCTGTGTCTGTGAACTGATGCTAATCTCTTCTTATAGGCAGATTTGGAAAGGAAGTCAAAAATACTATCTTTAATCAGCTGCATATTTAAGCGAACAATGCTTCACCAAACTTAGGTTTCAAAGTTGCTCTGAAAATCTGGAAATGTAGCTGTTTAGCAGAGGCTGTTCAAAATGAATAAAATTTATCAGGGAGCTATTAGGTGATGATATTTCCTCCAACGACTTTCAGGTTACAAACTGAAAGCGAGATCATGTTTTCTGATTCATCCTTGAGTTTTTTAAAAGTTAGGTCACATCAATTATTTCTCGTGTCTTCCTTTATTATAGACACTCAGGATACCTTTTGTGAGGTGCTTGCATCTGCATAAGAAAGGAATTCTCCATCATGCTCCATTTTGGACAGCCACTGGCCAATTGCTTGAGTGTGGGAGGGGATTTCTTAGGTGCCTTGACATATTCTTTCAAAGTAACACATCTCTAAGGTTGACACGGAGAAAACGTTTGATGTGAAAGTTGACACATTTGGCATGAAGAGGGGACTGTCACATTTTTTGCTTCACAGACAAAACCTGGCTGTGGCTTTGGGCATGCCTAGCTCTGATAATAAGTTTCGAGGAGGCAGGAGAGGTACAAGACAGAAAGTAATTTCTGTCATGAAAATCAGGAAAGGTGCGGGGGAGGGCAAGAAGACACCAGAGGAAGCATCTTTCATACACAATCAGACCTCGCTTTCTCACCACTTCTTCTCACATCCATAGAATTGATGGATCTGCTCAGAGATGCACGTAGGTATTCTGGCTTAAAGAGGCACACCTTCACCCCTTCTCCCTAAACTACCTTTTGCATGTGGAAGGCGACTTACGCCATGCTTGGCACACAGCAGGCTGTTTGGCCTCATGGTGACCTGCTACCCTCTATCCTTCTCCAGTCAGAAGTCTTGGCTCCCTAGAACTGACTGCTGTTGGCAGTTGCCGCATTTAGTCAATCACTCAGTCTGCTGTGCACTTATAGCATCCATGGGAGATTGGTTCTAAGACCCCTGTGTATACCAAAATCCACAATTGCTCAAGTCCTTAATATAAAATGATGGAGTATTTGCATATAACCTACCACATTGTCCTATAGACCTTAAATCATCTCTGGATTTCTTATAATACCTAATGCAATGTAAACATTTGTGATACTGCATTAGTTTTTCAACTTGTGTTATTATTATTTTTTCTGAATATTTTTGAACCATGATTTGTTGAATCTGCAGATGTGGAATCTGTAGATACAGAGGGGCCACTGTATTAAGCACCTACGAAGAGCTAGGCCCAGGGGAAGGTGGAGACACATCTCACCTAGGAAGGGGGAGGTGATCAAGTGAAGACAGCAAGTGTACACACCTCTGAAGGAACTTGATCTAGAAGAGAGAAATCCAGTGCCTTAGGAACACCAAAGATTAAACACTTGAGCTCTGAGAGGAAAGATCCAGAGTGAGGGAAAAGTTAGAGGTACAGGAGAACTGTTTGGTTGGGCCTCCATGTCTGTTTTGTCTCCTCTACTATCCCAGAGCCTGGAGATATTCTGAGTAGAGAGCAGTGAGGATACTTGCATCTTGATGTTGATGTGATAACCTCCCAACCCCACTTTACCCTTGATCAAAATGATCTTGGGAGACATACCTACCTTACCTCCCTTGCTTTATAGGACTGTAAAGAACAAATGAGTGCAATGCTGCTTCTGAGGTCCCTTAAGCACATTGCATCCTGGTGCAGTGCCACTCTCAACTTTTTACTACAATTACAGAGCATGATAGCATAGGATGTGATGTGTCATTCCCTGGAGATTTGCCGTAAGAGTTATCACTGGTCAGCTTTTTGAAACAGGAAAGAATGGGGATCTTAGTTGAGGGCAGGTATTATTACAGTGGTCCTTTCATGTTATTTCTCTGAATATAAAATGCTGTCTTCCCTCAGAAGATTGAATCAGTGTATTTAGCCATTTAGAATTTCTCATGTCAGGAAGATTTAGTCAGTAAATATCAGATGGCTGCCCGCTCAATGCAACATAGTAATATGCTATAACAATAATAGGAAGAAACTAACACCTGTAAATACTCTTCACTAGTAACTCTTCCCTCTCCTCCCTCTGGCAACCTTCGTTTGTAGGTACCCGCAAAGATTCTGTTCCACAAGTCTTACTCCCTGAGGAAGAGAAACTCATCATTGAAGAAACCAGAAGCAATGGCCAAACCATCATGGAAGAAAAGTGAGTAGAGCAGACTAAACCTCACCCGGTTTGTATGAGTATTGGCAAGGCTGTCAGGCAGGGTATTGTGGCTCTTGTTGAGGCTGCACTCAAGGGCAGGCCCTCCTCATCTGGGAGTGTGGCCTTCTTTGCTGAGTATGCAGTTGAGAGCCTTGAGAGGTCTGCTCTCCAACAAAGAGAAGGGAGAAGACGAGGGAGAGTACCAGAGCCTTCCAGAGCAGCACCTCTGTGTGGCAGCTGCCCCTACGGCCAGCTCTCCCATGCAGTAAGCTGCTTCAGGACACATGAGAATATCAGTGCTCTGGATGTGTTAGGAGGTGCTTGAGAATTTCAGCCACAACACTGATTTCCCTGCCCAAAGGGATGTTTCTCACATTTTTTGAGTCAAAAGCTATACTTTCACATACTTGACTTAATCTAAAATCCCACAGCAATCTGGTGAGACAAGCATTACTCTCATCACTTTCAAAGATAAGGAAACTGAGGTTCAGGGAAATTGTGTCTCTAGCTTACCTTTGCACGGTAGTGAGTGTGATCTCATGGGGGGAAACCAGGTTAAGTGCCTTACAGCTCATAAAATAAACACAACGTAGCCAAAGAATGCATTTGTTTAAACTTGAGTCATTTCTGAAGTCAGGCTTAAATGTGCACAAGGCAGCATATTTCAAGGTTGTTGGCATTATTGATGTATTTTTACATCTGGTAGATGAAGTAATACAGCAAAATGGTAAAGCACTTGCGCTTCAAAGAAAAACAGTCCTGGTTCAATGCCCAATTCTGCTACTCATTAGCTGTGTGACCTGGGGCCAGTTTTGTGCCTCAGTTTTCTCATCCGTAAAATGAGGATGATAGTAATACCTTCAGAGTTGTTGTGAGGTTAAATGAAATAAGTATAAAGTCCAGCACTCAATAAATAATGATAGTTAAGCCAATTCCTCTTCTTATAACTATATTAATCTTCACAACTTTGTGAGGTTTGGGGGGAATGTGGTATGATCCCCATTTTATATATAAAGAAACTAAGGCCAAGAGAGACTGAGAAGGAAACTGGTTGTCCAAGTTTAGAGGACTAATGGCAGGGTCAGAACTAAAACTTAGATCTCCATAGACTTTCTCCAAGGAAAAAGCCAGAGAATAAAAGGCTGTTCCACAACCCCAGCCAGGGCTCTTCGTCCTTTTTTTGGTAATATATGGATTCTTCTAGAAATAATGTCTCTGACTTTTTGTCATGTGAGGTCATGTGGGGTTAGAGAGCTGAGAAGAGAAATGCCATAGCACAGATATTGTAGAATAAGCAGAGTCTTGTAATAGCTCTCATTATATGTTGAGTGATGTTCATTGCTGCTCCAAAACAAGATAAATCAAAACCTTATGATAGGACCTAAAAATTTAAATGCATAAAAGCAGAGAGTAGAATGGTGATTTCTAGGGACTGAAGGGAGGGAGAAATGGAGAAATGTTGGTCCAAGGGAATCAAATTTCAGTTATGCAAGATGAATAAGTTCTGGAAAGTGAGTGTACGGCATGGCAACTACAGTCAGTCCTGTGCATGTGTGGGTTCTGCATCTATGGCTTCAACCAGCCTCAGACCAAAAACACTCAGAAAAAAATGGATGGTTGCATCTGTACTGAGCTTGTACTGACTTTGTTCATGTCATAATTCCCTAGGCAATACAGTATAATAACTATTTACATAGTATTTATATTGTATTAAGTAATCCAGAGATGATTTATGAAGTATACAGAAAAGTATGCAAAAGTTATGTGCAAATACTGCATCATTTTATACCAGAGACTTGAACATCTGTGGATTTTGGAGTCCATGAGAGTCCTGGAACCAATCCCCTGATGATACCGAGGGAAAATGGTATAATTGACAATGCAGTATTGTATACTTGAAGTTTGCTAAGAGAGTAAAGAATGTATCCTCACCACACATACAAAAGGTAACTATGTGAGGAGATGGATCTAGTAATTAGCTTGGTAGTGGCAATCATTTTACAATCTCACCCTATACACCTTTGTTATTTATCCTCAATAAAACTGGAGAAAGAAAACCCTTATCATGGGCCCTAGTGTCTTATTTTTGCTCCTCCAAGCTGAGAATTGAGTAGCAGAAGATGAGGGAAGTATAGAAGAGGTGCAATGGCGGGGATTTTTTTTTTAAGATTTAGGGTACAATTCAACATTAGGTGTGTAAGTGGACATCATACTGGTAAAGTTTGGGGCAGGGCTTTTGATAAGCATGTGTGGTTGTTTTCCCATCAAAATAAAAAAGATAAGGAACATTCAGGTAGCATCATTTGTGATCGGCTCAAAAGTCCACTGCTTTTCAGGATCTGTAGTTTATGAAGCTACTTTTATTGAGTATTAATAGTACTTTAATATCTCAGTGTCAGCCATTCACCTCTGAATTTTATCTTTATTTTCTAGGAGCCTTGTTGATACTGTGTATGCCTTGAAGGATGAGGTCAAAGAACTCAAGCAGGTAATACAATATAAAAGTCACTTTCTTGGATAACAGATGCACTCCCTTTCCCTTGCCACACATTGGTCATGCTGTTGGGAAAGGTCCAGGAGCAAGATGGGGAGGGCGGATTTATATTTTCCTGTGTCCTTAAGGTAGGTTTTGTTGATTCTCCCACGTAGCCTTTGGCTTAAATTTCTGAGGCTTGCTTATGTTTCTGTTTAGCGGTTTGCAGTAGGGTCGCAAGGCAAACGTAGTTATGACTTTCCTATTCCCTGAAATCCATAAGCAGACATTAAGACAAGATAAGTCAGGCATAGTGGCTTACACCTGTAATCCCAGCATTTTGGGAGGCCAAGATGAGAGTATCTCTTGAGATCAGGAGTTCAAGACCAGCCTGGGCAACATAGTTAGACCTCATTCCTAAAAAAATTAAAAATAAAAATAAAAAATAAAATTAGCCAGGCATGGTGTCATGCACCTGTAGTCCCAGCTATTTGGGAGGCTGAGGCAAAAGAATCACCTGAACCCAGGAAGTCACGGCTGCAGTGAGCCATGATCATGCCACTGCACTCCAGCCTGGGTGACAGAGGAAGACCTCGACTCAAACAAACGAACAAACAAACAAGTAAATAAATAAAAGACAAGTAAACAGATAAAAGATAAGTCATTCATGAGTGTGTAAGTGTACAAAGAACCATTATTCGTGGTTTGTGGGCTTTTCTGGAGATGTGGCACAGGGCTCCATGATGCACATTCTGCCTTGCGTGTGAGACTGACTGTACCGGCTGACAGGGTGAGGGACAGATGGGAAGGGAGAAAGACTAGGGACTGGGAGACCACTTAGGAGGTACTTACCAAACTCTGGGTGAGACATTTGCAAGTCCTGAATTGAGGCAGGACAGTGAGGTATGGAAGAGGAGAACAAGTAAAGAGAATGATGCACCACAGAGCTCAAACCTGTGGGATATGATGTTAGGATTAAGAAAGAACCAGGGATTTTTTTTGTGTGTGTGTTGGAGTCTCACTCTGTCGCCCAGACTGGAGTGCAGTGGCCGCTCCCGGCCACCGCAGCCTCGACCTGCTGGGCTCCGGCGATCCTTCCGCCTCAGCCTTCCGAGTAGCCGGAATTACAGGCATGCACTACCACACCTGGCTGATTTTTTGATTTATTGTAGAGATGAGGTCTCGCTGCCCAGGCGGGTCTTGAACCTGCGGACTCAGTCAATCCACTCACCTCAGCCTCCCAAAGGCACAGGATTACAGGCTGAGCCACCGAGCCCGGCTAGAACCAGGGACTAAAGATGAAGTTTCTTCCCTGAGTATCTAGTTTGATATGGTGGTGCCTTTCACAGAGATCAGAAGCTACAGGAGAAGTTTTAGGTGTCAAGGAAGATACTGAGTTCACTTTAGGACTTAATGAGATTGAGGTACTTATAACATATCTAGGTGGAAATACTGAGCTAGCATTTGGGATTGTGGACCTGGCTCTCAGAAGATGAGGTCGGTACCAGTGATACGTGGCAGGCCCTTTAATAGACATGTGGGTTGATATGTGAAAAGAGCGTTAAAATAGAAGTGGGCCAGGCAGGGAAGAAGAATGCAAAAGCCTTGCTAGAGACAGGTGGGAAAATCAAGAGGCTGCTTTGTATTACACTCCGAGTGAGAGAAGGTTGAGGAAGAACAGTGAGTCAGTGGTGTGGGCTGCCAAGAGGATGGGAAGAAGGAGCCCTGAGAAGAGTCCCCTCTGGTAATCACCAAGTCTTTACCCACCCTAGGAGAATAAAAGAATGAAGCAATGCCTGGAAGAAGAACTGAAATCAAGAAGGGACCTAGAAAAGCTGGTCCGGAGGCTGTTGAAGCAAACCGATGAGTGTATTCGAGCCGAGTCCAGTAGCAGCAAGACCTCAATTCTTCCATGACCATCACTGTAGCACTGGGCAGAGTGTGCCTTCAGGGCATTTTGAAATGTCCCACTGAATGATTTGATTCCGTTTGCTCACTTCTTTGGTTTTTCTTCTCTCTCTCTCTCCCCCCCCCCCCTTTCTCTCTCTGTATGCACTTCAGTGTTTATTGTCATCTGGTTATTTTTTGGTTGTTCATTTTTTTCCAGCAGGGAAAAAAGCAGGAGGTGGGGGTAAATGTGGCCCCGGAGTCTTTTCCACTTAGTAAGAAAAGGAAAGTGAATGCAGGCAAACGACTTACAGTTCTTCAGATGGTCTTCAGTTTACAATGCCTCTGCGACAGCCATTGCCCTCAGATCATATTCTTTGGGCTGGCTGCTGTCACAACACAACTGGCCAGGGCATATTACATGTGAACCCACCTTCCCCTCCAATGCTTTCCTGCATCTGCAAGCCCCTCAGTACCTAATTTACTGGAGGCAAAGCTTCCTGAGCTGTGAGTAGAGTAGGATGAGACTAACACATTTGCCCAGTGACTCAGCTGCCCTTCCCTAGATCGTCACATGCTACCCCTCAATCACACTTTTAAAAATGACTGCCCTATGTTGTCTATAAGACCAAGAAAACTGTAGTCCCCTTATGCCTCTTGTGTTGGTGCATGTTGTAACTGAGAAGGTAGAGGCTCTGGCCATCCATGCCAACACCAGATCCTGCAGCAAATCGTCCTGGACAATCTTCTCCTTCAGCAACAGAGTTGACCATCTCTTCCTGGTGCATGGTGGGTTTTCCCCAGCCTTCTGTCAAGTGTGTACACTTTCGCCTTCCCCAGTGCTTTCAGCCAACTGTACCAGTGGTGTGTAAACTAGTTTGTACATGCTTTGCTTACTTTTGAAAAAGTGTAGTTAGACTGTGAGCAGTTACTTTATGTACATTGCATATTCAAACTGCAACCTTTCACCCTTCAAAACAATCTGCACCGAGGAGATATTGTACCCTAGTAGACAGCTTTCCTTTACTTTATTGCTCTCTCATATATGCTGTGAGAAGTTGTAATATTCATTAGCCTCTTTGAATAGGATTCTAAGCATTATTCACGGGAAGATGCTACAAGTCCAGACTGTATATTCAGAACAAAAGGGCCACTCTAGTAGCTGTGTGCTGGTTATTAGTGGAGCTGATTACTGGGAACTGGTTTACTCAAGTTGCTCATGGAATCAAACCACCAACTTTGTAAGTATCCCAGAAACTAGAACTGTGAGAAATTAGGGTTAAAAGAGTCATGGCAGAACAGTGCACATCCAAATGAGGCACAATTGAAAGTTGGCCCAAGGCGCTAGGACAGAGCAGTGCAACTCGCCCCTCCCTTTCCCAAAGAAGGGAAATTTGGCCGGTTGGGGATGGTCACTGGAAAGAGAGTCAAAGGGTCAAATGGCTGATCAAAGTTGTCTTCCAGATACATTTGATGGATGCTTGTAAATGTGGGTGTTGCAAATGTTTAGAAACCAAACGTAAAGCTTGAACCCCTCAACTTGCTGAGGAGCCCATTTTCCTTGTGGTACTGAGGGTCTCAAGGTCCCATAGCTACATAGTACGGGGTTGTTGTCTGCTTGCTGCACAGCAGAAATGACTCCACCCACAGGAAGTGGACTGTCCCTGCAGCTCAGCATCAGTCAACTTCACACAGCCATCTTTGGAAGCTGAAGAGTAAATATTTCTAGGAATGACAGTTATTGTGTTTTTAAGCACAGAGATTTAGATGTGACATCCTTCACCTAAAAATTGAAAACACAGCCACCACCAATGTCAACACCAACACAGATCTTCACATCTGCCCTGTCTGTGATTAGTCAATGGCTTGCAATAGATGTGTAAACTATATGGAAAGTTCTTTATTTTAAAGTGATGTGTACATATGCATGTTTTGGGGACTTGGCCCTTCTGATGAGAGCACTCAGTACTCTGGATAATGAAGCTTATGCAGAGTAGTGTCCATGCTTACACACTAAACAATAATATAAAGGAAACAAAGCCATGTTAACCCGAGAGCAGTGTCTCCATAGTTGTGTTGTTTACAATACTCTACAAATGGGTTCCCATTACCCTGTAATTCAACTGCTACCCTGAGAGGCCTTTCAGTTCCTTTTCAGTCATGTCCCTTCTTACACAAGCTCCGATTTTCTAACTTGTTTTTATTTTGAAGACTTTTAAAATGGACATTTTCAATACATAAGAATAAACAGTGCTTTATAAAAATAAGTCCTTTGTTTCCCTTTTTGCTAGCTGGTGTGCAGAAAGATGTTTGATACTGTGTCAACTTCCTCTCCCATGTTCCTCACTAGCTGGTTCACTTTCACCGGCCTTCTAGCCAGCCCCTGCCTTTTTCACTCAGGGAAGATGACATTTGCTTCCTCCTTTACAGAGATAATACATGCCATGACATAGAACTTTCTTCCTTAATTTCATCACCTCTTTTCTTCTGGTCCCAACTTATAAACTGTCTCTATCGCTTCTCATCATTTTCCTTCCAATATTAGAGAAAGATATATTCATTGTCCTGTTAAACTGCATCCCTTGCTCTTTAGTCTTGTCCTTATTCCTTTTTTAATTTGGCAAGATTCTGTCAATCTTGCTAAATGGAAGATTGGAATGCTGGTATCAACAGTCAGGACAAAAATATTTGTTTCATTTCAACATAGATGAGCTTGATATCTGCTACTCAACATCCATTTCTATTCCTGTTGTTTCTTCCACTAAACTTAAAGGTTAAAACATGCATTTTCCAGACTCCCTTGCAGCTAGGGTTCTGGATACAGTGTGCGTTCTGATACATTTTCACCCCTACCAACAAGATTTAGAAGTCTTAAATTAGGCAGAGGCTATCTTCTTGGGGCTTGGTGGCCAGAAGACAGTTCCAATGGTGTGTTTGTGGTTTCCGTACTCTACTTTCCAGTGTATCTACTCATAGGTTTGTGGGTGAGAAGCTGTAGTGGCAGCAGTTGTGGTGGTAGCAGCAGCCTCCTAACATGTGGATCACATCTGCAATGGTATGACCTTGAAGTCATTAGTTCAGTGACAGTCCCCTGGCTTGCCCCTGACTTTCACTTTTCTAGCTCAATGGTTTTACAGATGTCTAATTATTTTTCTGCCTGAGATACCTTTAGTGTTTCTGTTTCCTGTTCTAAGCCAATAGATATAACATTGCACCTTGCGTGTGCTAGGCACAGTACTAAGTGGTTTATATGATTAAGCTCATGAAATCCTTACAGCAACCCTATGAGGTATTCAATACTGCTATCTTCATCTTACAAATGAACAAAAGCACAGAGATGTTAAACATGTGTACATGGTGGAACTGGGATTTGAAACTCTGGTCTGTCTGTCTTTGGATCCCATGTTCTCTCTACTGCATTTCTCCCTCTGTACCTGGTACCTGCCAGCTAAGGTTCTACCTCAGCCAGCCACCTTCCTGAAGTCACCATTAAGCTCTTAAATGACAAATCCAGGAAACACTTTTCAATGCCCATCTAGACCCCTTGGCTGTATTTGACCCTTGCCTTCTTGATAAATTTCTCCTTCCTTGGTTTTCATGATCCCACACTTTCTCGACATTCAATCACTCCTCAGTCTCCTTTGCTGGACCCACCTCATTTGCCTGTCCTCTGAACCTTGATAATCTTCAACACTCATTTCGTCTTCATTCTAAAACTTCTTTCTGGAACACCTTGTCTACTCCCATAACTTCATTTATCAAAATTTAGATGACTTCTATGTCTATATTTTTTCATTATGATTTTTCTCCTGAATTCCAGACCTATGATGCAGCTACCTGTGGACATCTCAGCTTGAATGTCTTACAGCACCTCAGACTCAACGTGTTCAAAACCAGATTCCTCATCTCCACTCCCAGATCCACTCCTTCAATGAGTCCCATCTCAGTGAACAGCACCCCTGGCCACTTAGTTGTCCCAACCAGAAACATGGGTATAATCCTTCATCCCATCCTCCCTGTCAGCCCTTTATAAAATTGTGCATTAACCCTTTGTAAATCTAGTAATCAAGTATGCCATTTTTAACTCTACTGTATCCCCTGAATTTCTCCTCTCCATCCTCATGGTCATTGCCCAATTTTGACACTTGTCATCTCTCCCTTGGCATCTCCTTGCTTCTTGTGTGTTCCCTATAATACCAGTCCTTAACCTGATGTAAAATTTACACTGGGATTGAAATGTTTGCACATCTGTTTTGCAAAAGATTGCAAGCTACTTGAAAGCAGGGATCAGATCATATTTATCTTTATATATCCCAAATGAATAGCATAAAACAATAACCTCGGTCAGTATTGGATGGGCAGGTGGACAGATGAAATGACTCTTTAGCTCCCTAGTTCAAGAAATGTGAATAAAATGTAAGACATGTTAAAGGTTACATGTTAGACTTCAAAGAAATTTGCACTCAGAGAGGTACAGAAGATAGGAGTAGAGTTTGTGATTTAAAAAAAAAATATTGGATTTTAAGTGGGATGACCTTAGCCAAAAAAAAAAAAAAAAAATGAATTTATAGATAAACTGGTAGAACTCCAGGAATGGGGAATGAAAAAAATAACTATATATTTAACTAGTTTTCCTTTGGAGGTGCTGAATTACCTACAGAATTGCTTCGAGGAGTGTGGGATACAAGGGGTAGGTTTGTGTATGACTGTCCCTCAGATTGATATTCAATGGTCTTTGTCTTTTTAAGAAACCTTCCCAAATATAGGATTTCTCAAACCTACTAGAAAATTTGGTAATTCAAACCCCCAGTGGTTAACTATTTTGACAATGAAACTATGAAAAAGGTTTTTGCTACACACAGATCTACACTAATGTTATGTGCATATCTTTCCATCATAACCTTGCTTTTTCTTTCTTTTTTTTTTCTGCTTTCGCTTTGTTTCAAATTGGGTGTGGTCTTTGGTCAACTACACAGACAAGTTCTTTCATGTGTACCTGGGTTGCCAGGCATTTGTTTTGGCCTCAACGGTGTCTACCATTTTAAGATTGTATCCTGTCCACTTGACTACTAGATGCAGACGGATGTGCTGGAGACCTCATAGAGACTCACCTTAGCACTTTTTATATTGTGACTTGCTCCAGAGAGCAGATTCTGCTGAAGACTTTCTGTGGATAATCTCACTGAATCTTTATAAACTTTGCAAAGCAGATATTCTTTTTATTTTCACTTCACAGATGAGGACCTCGAGGCCCAGAGGAGGTCAAATGACTTGCCTATGGCGATAAAGTTGGTTAATAGTAAAGCCTAGATTAAGACTATATCTGTCTGACTCCAGACTTTGCCACTACACTACAATGGGTATTTCTAGCTTTTTTAAAAAATGGGAATGTCGTTCACAGAGAAAAAGAACATAAAAATCATACTCAGTCCCATGTTTCTGTGTCTCAAGATACTTCAGACAGATTTAAAAGCCTAAGGCAGTGCAGCTCCCACCATAGTGGCACTAAGCCTGGTGGAAATAGTCAAACAGAGCATAAAATGTGTTTTCTCCTAAAGCTCAAAAGTCTCCATGTTGTTTCCCTTTCAGCGGGGGTGCCCCTATACTGACAGTTTGCTAGAGCACACTGCATTTTGTAGTCATTTGCTTCCTATCAAGTAACAGAGATAGTAACATTATATCCTTTGCTCATTTTCTCTTTATCTAGAAATAAGCCTTACTGAGTATTTCAAACATTCTCCCACCCTTGCATAGAATGCGGAAGTGACATGTTTCTAAAAACAGAACTAAATTAGAAAATTTATGATTAGACTATGACAGGTAGATCAGAAATATACTCGAGTCTTTACCATTTATTGGAACAACTTTGAAAATGTTCAAGAGAAGTTCGGAACAAACTTCATATACTATTTTGCAAACTATCATAGAGTGTAGTATAATAAAAACATATTATCTATTCTTATCTATAGTATAATTTCAGTAACTATTCCATGAGTGCGTTTTTATCATTTAGAGTTTTTTTTTTATATATAATGAGGATCTTTTCAGTGTAATAAACTTCAAATGAACCAACACAGAGAATTATTTCATTGACTATTGAGTTATACTCAGGGCACGTATTCATTTATGCAACAAATAAAGGGCCAATTTTATACCGAGCCCTGTAGTAGACACTGAAGTGACCAGGGTGAACAAGGCAAGGTGTTGGTCTTCAAGAAGCTCACAGCATAGTAGAGAAAGCTTCAACCATGATAAGTGCTGTGAAGCACTTCCTAAGAGCAGGGCATAGTAGTGGAGGGGAATGGGTCTTGCAAGAAGAGCAAACAGCATGTCAGTGTCCTAAGGCAGGAAAGCATTTATAATCTTGCTTAGAGGAACTGAGGGCTAGAACTTAAGAAACTGAAAAAGGTATTGGCAGGAGATAAAATAAGTTAATAATTTCAGTCTTTATTCTAAGGTCCATGAGAAGCAGAGCCTGGATATGGATGGAGAATGGATGGAAAGGAACAAGTATAGAAGCAGGGAATCTAGGAGGCTATAGCAGAAGAGAGATGATGGTAGTTTGGACTAGGATAGTGGCACTAGAAATAGAAAGAAGTAGATTAATTTAAGAACCATTTAAGAAATAGGGTTGATGGGTATAGACTGGTAGGACTGGACATGGGTGTGAGGACAGGAAGAAATCAAGCCAGGATTCTGACTTAGGAATCAGGGTAGATGTCATTCACTGGAGTGGGAAACACTGAAAGCAGCTTCTCTTGTGTGTGGTACAAGATTAAGAGTTCCATTGGGATGCATGGGGTTTGAGGATCTGAGTTACCATTTAGAGATGCAGGCAAATTCTAGGAGACAGATGAGAGCAAAAGGCATAGCATTAGTAGCATAAAAGGCACTACTAGGATGAAACCATGAGCCAAGGGGAGACAGCCCACCATGAGCATGTAGAATTGGAAGAGAAGATAATGAAGGATTGGACCTGTAGTCTTTGGGGAGGGCAAGGTGACCCCATGAGGAAGCAGTCTGAGAGGCTAGGCAGTTTGTCATGTGAGGGTGAAGCTTAGGGGAAGGTCATTCAGAGGGCTGTAGAAACCACAGGAGAAGAGGAGATAGCCTTGAAAATTTAGAGTGTGTCTGTATCAATAGCATAAGTTCTGGTAACAGATACTTTCAGCAACTTAATTACTAGTGGTAGATAAAAATCTGAAAGATAAGGATTTTCAAAGAAAAAAGCGGGGTGAAATGCAGAGGCAATGGTTAAATCAAAAGAAGGCATGTGTATATGAAGAGTAGAAAACATTTGTCCAAGTGGTTGTAGATTCCCTTCTGATGAGCCCTACTGAAGGGTGATGCCTTTTGCCTATCCCATCCCATTGTCTCACCTGGGCAATTTGGGTAAATATGGTGATGCTACAAAGTGGAAACTCAGCTACTGTAAAGAAGGGTCATGGCCTGGGTATTTTCTCCCTGTCTCTCGACTGGGTCTGGGATCCTGGCCTTCTTAACAGAGGCCCATACCTGTGAGAATATCATGACCAATATCTCCTCAGCTGTCGTGGCCACTGTCCCACTTCCTCAAGTCTCCTACACAAAGCTTATTGTAGAAAGATTGTAGAAAGATCTTTGCTTCTAGAGGACAAGACAGCACTGTGGACATATCCCTAGTGAGTCCCTGAATCCATCAATGGCATCCCTGCTCATATTAAAGGTCTCTTGTTGGAGAAAATATGCAGCCAATTAAGTTTGTCTGGCATAATTTCAGCTCTGTGTTGGTCGTGCATAATCCAAGGTTTTCAGAGTTACTCAGCCAAAATGAGACTGTGCTATCTCTGGGACTGAAGAGCAGGGGGAGTGGCTGGGAGCTGGCCCCACCCTTTTTCACGCCACTTTCTTATTTCTACAGTAATATTTTCTTTTGTATGAACATGTGGTATTTGTTTTAAGCAAAGCACTCTACCAGTAAACATGAAGATGCCACTCTGGGTTTCTTACATGAAAAAACCCTCTGTTGGAGGTGACAAAAATGGTGCCATTCACTTCAGTGGAAGACTATGGGGCCAATATTGTCCCCAAGGTTGTCTCAGCTCCATTTCCTCTTGTCTAAAAAAGGTAGGCTACTGCTTCTCATTTAAGGCCTCTCCCACTCCAGCCTCACTTAACTGTGATTAATTTTTTTAAAAATCTCTTCTCAATGTTCTACAACTTTTTCAGAGCAAGTTGGAAATAAAGAACCAGATTGCTGCCAGGCGTGGTGGTTCACGCCTGTAATCCCAGCACTTTGGGAGGTGGAGGCAAGAGGATTGCTTGAGCCCAGGGGTTCGAAACCAGCCGGGGCAACTTGGCAAGACCTCATCTCTACAATAAATAAAAAACCTAGCTGGGCGTGGTGGCATGTGACTATAGTTCCAGCTATTTGGAAGGCTGAGGCGGAAGACTCACCTGAGCCCAGCAGGTTCAGGCTGCAGTGACTGTGACCATGCCTCTGCACTCCATCCTGGGTGACAGAGTGAGACTCCAACTCAAAAAAAAAAAGAACTAGATTGATTTTCACTGAATAGGCTAACACTGCATCTATCAAAGGCTATCACACACTTCCAGAGAGTGTGCTACCACCAAGATATTTTGTGACATAAGTACCTTGATTCTCATGAAAACATCACAAAGGTTGAGAAAATTCCCTCCAAATGTTTCCTCTTTCCCCAACCTGGCCAAGGGCTTTAGGTATTAAGCAACAACAATAATGTTAAGGGATCTTTATTATTCAAAAAATAAATAACAAGATAATTACAAGTTCACTCTGGAAACATAGGAGATTGCAGGTAGATACAATAGATTTCCTTTAAATATAGTCACTTCATGTTGAGAAGTGGGCAGGCTTGGAGCTGTGCTCCCTGCCCCCTACCTCCCATCTATAGTGGTAGAGATAGACAGCCTGATTCGTGTGTGTGTGTGTGTGTGTGTGTGAGAGAGAGAGAGAGAGAGAGAGAGAGAGAGAGACCGAAAGGTAGAGATGGAGAGAAAGAAAGATTGAAAGAGAATGAATGACTGTCGTGGTGGGTGGCAGGGGCAGGGTTTTTCAGTTCTCCACCACATTAGACATTCTAGAGCCTGACCCCTTCCATCAGGGCCATCGGAACCCAGAGTCAACCATAACTGAATGTGAGTTGAGGTTCCCATTTCCTTTCTGCATTATCATTGATACATCAAATACATTATCCACTGAAAGACACTGCATGCAGTGAAACAACATTGAACTTGGCTAATTATCTGCTGTATACTCAGAACTCAATCTGTGCATAACGGCCTTGTCTTTTCACAGGACTCTCCGGAGGTCTGCCTCAGTGGGGTTGCTGCTTCAGAATATACGCTCTTATGGAGCAGGACCCGTCTGGGTTTCACACGACCTGTAATTCACTTATTCCAGCCCTACATGCCTTGGAGTGTATAATAAATAATTCCCCGTGAGGAGAATCCTAGGATTATAAATAGGCAGTTCAACAGGGGATGGCCTTAGCTGCTGTGCTGTGTGATGAAGACTGCCAGCATCAACTCTGCCATAGCCTGCGAGGTGACACAGTTCAGAGTTTGAGTAAGCCAAAGGATGTGAAGCCAGTCCCATGACTCACTTGGCTTGGATCAGTCACATTGACAAACACTGAAGCACCTGCTTGCAATTCAAAGACTCCTCCCAAGTGAATGGATTGTTGCCCACAGGGTTTGTTGGAGCTGTGGGTATTTGCCGCTCTGAGTAAGATTCTCTCGGATCCACCCGGGGACCTCAGGCAGAGGCTCACTATAAATGGTGCTTGACTCGAAGCTTCACGGTTGGAACAGAAGGTGACTTGGGTGTAGATATAATAGAGTCCTTGTCTTTTAACGGTCAACTGTTTCCCATTTTCGAGGGTCACCAAGTTGTTGCTCATGGTGTAGTATCCTTTTTCAGCCCACTGTAGAACTGTTACAAAGAGAAAGGAAATTTGTGGTAAGGTGAGACAGAGCATGGTTCGAACATCTAATATAGTTTCGTGTTGGATCCTGGCTCTGTATAGGAATGGCTAACAAATCACCACGGGCTTCAGAGCCAGACAGAGTCAGGTTCTGTTTCAGGCTTTATTCAAGCTTGGGTGAGTCACTTAATCTTGAATTTCAGTTCCTCATCTGCAACATGGGGCTCATATTAGAGCGTATTTCAGAGACTTGTGAAAATTAAATAAAGTAGCAGAGCACAATGAATTTCCTTCTTTTTTGGGGGTTCTTATAAGCAATTTGCTCCTGAACTTTAAAAAGTGCAAATGATTTCGAAATTCCGTGTTGTAAATTATGCATACCACGTTATTCAGACAAAATTTTTGCTAATGTTAACATCAATCATTGCTTGTCTTGAATTTCACAAAGTCAGAGAATTGTCAGTCTACCTAACCAGCCTCTGTACAGAGAAAAGACCCCATTTCTTCCTCCCTGATCATGCTGTTGCAAACCTGACAACCTGCTTCCCACAGCAAGGACTAAAATTAGTCAAGGAAGTATGAAAATAAACTGTGTGCTCATATCACTGCGTGTTTTGATCTCCCATTGTAGTGGGCGCCACTGACTTGAAACTACCTGCATTCTTGTGGCTAAGCCGGAGTACCCATCAACAGTGTGCCATTTTCTCAGCTGAGATGTTGAGTGGGTTCAAAGTAGTGTGTGCACCCGATTTCAAATCTCAGCTCTCACAGAGAGCTAGACTGACTGATGAGAGTGGGGGTTGGAGAGAAGTGAAAGTCCTGATGCATTTGCTTCCTTGAGTTTTTAAAAAAATAATATTTATTTGGTAATCTCAGGCCTAACGGGGCACAAGATCCTACCTACTATGACTCATCCTTTAGTAATGGGTAGACATCCTTAAACACTTAACATATCTGGGCCTTCCAGACCATCCCAGAAATAATGCTTTATTGTGATGTTTCCCTTTTGCACGGTTTGATTGAGAACAAAAAGGACAGGTTTACTATTTTTTAGTCCACTGACTTGACTTTGGTAAATTCTTACCTAATTAGAGCCTTTGCTGTGGGATATAGGGCAAGTTTGTAACAGCTTGACTAGGTAGGCATAATGCGTTTGGAACAGTAGGGGGTTGGAAGGAGAAGGAATGCTACTATCTTCCTGCCTGATTCCCTGCAGACCCACTGTGGTGCAGACTGCAAGATATTGTGAGACCAATATCAATTATGAGCCTTTTGGGAGAATCTGAGCTCCATGAAATATATCCAAGGGCAAGGACTTAGATACAGGTGGACGAAGACCAGTGGGCAGCTATTCTTCTAAGAGATTTCTCTGTCATTGTCATCCAATCCAAAAACGAGAAGATGTCATATGGCTGGCCACCCTAGACATGGCAGTATTGTGATATTTTCTGAGAAAGGAGTAGTTGACAGAATTATTAAATATTGTAAGAGTAACTTGTATCAATGAGGGGCCTTATGTCACTCTTTTGACATTGAAACCACGGTGAAGTAAACTAAGTAGTGGCACCTTACACTTGACAGGTACATTTTTGCTGCATTAGCTGATTTGATGCTCAAAGCCACCCTATGAACTAGGGGAGGTAGGAAACTGCTACATAAGTAAAGGGACTTGCTCAGGGTCATCCAGTAAGTGGTGATCATAGTTCTTGAGCATGAGTATTCAAAAACTCCCAATCCAGTGCTCTTACTCCCATACCATGGTCCACGATAATGATAACCATTCCTATGTTACACCCACTGTGAGACCCAGCCCACCTAAGAGATGCGGTGGTCTCTCTCTCATTCTCATTCTCTCTCTCTCTCCTTCACACACACACACACACACACACACACACACACACACAGAGAGAGAGAGAGAGAGAGAGAGAGAGAGACAGAGAGAGAGAGTTTAGAACTCATTCCAGGCACTCTGCTGAATTTTTCAAAGACTGCTCTGATACTCTTCCTTTATGTCGATGTGGGACGTTATGTTAGCGTGCATGTTTCCATCCATTTATCAGATGCAACACATTCTCTAACACCAGCTATCGCAAAGTACAGATTTGGGAGAAAAAAAATCTAAAGGCTAGAATGGTGGCGGGACGTATATGGAAATAAGATCGTTCAGAGTTGAAAAGATCACAGTATGTCGTCTGTTGTTACTTCATTGGAAAATCTAACGTCTAGGCATCTATTGATCTTTACAGAATGATTTTACCTTTAATTTCCCTGAGGTTGGCCCCAGTGAAGCTGGGCTTAATCATACAGGGATTGACAGATGGCAGGAAATGCCCCCTGAGGCCCATTTCCACACAGTGAAGAGGGGGTTAGAAAGAGGAATGCTCTCAGTCAGGAGGTCACTACCTTCTATGTTGTCAGAATAATGGTCCCTCCACCCAGTAATTCATCATTTAAAACCAGTCATTGAGCAAGAACATAATGAGAACATCAGGATTGCGTCCCACCTCCTTTTCTCCTTCTAAGCCCCATCTGTGCATTTGAGCTCACTTTGGAGACAAAGCAGAGCATATGAGAGATGTATGGGCAGGTTTGTAAATTGGGCCCCAGAGGAAGAGATGCGCCCAATCATTAGGCTGCATAACTTCAGCATCCAGCCTCCGCCTTTGGGTGGCTAATGCTCAGAGGTTGTGGGACTTACCAGATGCTGTTTTACTACTGGCATCGCTTATGACATGTGCGGCAATTTGAGGATTCTGATCACCTGAAATGAAACCAAAAGTAAACTGTTAAGTCAAGGTAATACAAAACTGCCCAAAGAACTAGTGCATCAAGCTCCACTGTCGTGAAATAAAGGATGTGCTCAAATAGATTATGTAAAAGGAAAGATAAAAATGGTCTGAAATTCCTATCACTGAAAACAAAATTGATTTCTAATATCATAATAATTGAATTGGCTGACTCCATTAATCCCAGTCTCCTATTAGTTAATCAATACTCAATTCTATGTTACATAGATTGACATAGGTTACAAATACTGGTGTTCATTAAACATACTTTGAATTTTGCTTTTAAGAACTGCCTGGGGAAGCGGGGCACACCTCATCGATAAGGGTACCTGCACAGTGAATATTTACATACCTAGCCCTCAATTGTATCCACAATTTTAAATAAAAATTAAAAGAGGAAAAAAAAGAAAAAAATACAAAATTATCCATAAAAAAATAACTCCCATACATTGGGGGTCTTAGTGGGTCCCAGAGTTGTGTCTGCACACTTAGCTAATAAAATATGCAATCTTATGGTCCAAGTTTATGGTGGCTGATTTGGTCAAGCAACTGGTCAAACTATTGTATCTATCTTGAATTATTTCTTATGCAAAAGGCTTAGAGATTAGATGTGCTAATCTCCTAAGTGCAGAGACTGTGTGGAAGTTTATTTATTTGTTTGTTTGTTTATTATGAGCCTGGTGCTGGACACTTTCTAGGCGTTCTATAAATGTTGAGTCAAATTGCATGACCTAAATGACCAGGTTACTCAAGTTTGTCTTTTTCCTGAAGTCTGCTAGACAGCATTCATGTGAACTATTTTTTAAAATGTCACTATAATTAACAGACAGCATGATAGTATTCAATGTATCTTGCAGTCATCTTAAGACAAAATCTTCATGAAAGTCAAATGACCCTTTAGCAGCCAGGCCAATAGTTAAGCTCTCAGTACTCTCTTTGCTTCAGAAAATAGTGTCTATATCTCTATATGTATGTATCTCTTTGTGTGTATTAGATTTGCGGAAGCCAAGACATCAAGTTCACAAATTCTGTGATATATTAGTCTCTCTAATAACATCCCCTCCTTTTCATAATCTGCTGCTCAGGTTGCTTTAGGCATTGTTGTATTGATTTGGGGTGACACGTTCTAAAATAAACAGGGAAAAGTTAGTGTGTCCAGAAAAGGAGGCAAGTGAGAGAGAAAAATGCCAGAAAAGGGTCATAGAAAGAACAAGGGAAGACGTTAGGGATCTTTAGCCCAGAGAAGAAAAAGCTCAATCAAGACTTGGGAGCCATAATTGCTATCTTCCATATCTAGACAGCTGCTGTGTAGGAGAGGAATTATACTTTGGTTAATATGGCCTCAAAGAGCAGAACTGGGACTAGTGAGTGGAGATTGTAGGAATAAAGTTTGACTCAAGAGAAAGAAAGACCTCTCTCAGGTGGTATGTTAATCTTACTATAATTATAAGAGCCATTCAAAGATGGAACAGGCTACCTTCTGAAGTAGAAGGTTCCTAATCCCTAGCCATGTTTGATCAGAGACCAGGCGGTCAGTGCTGTTGTGAAGATTTGTGTTCTGGAAATAGTGCTGGAATTGAGAACCATCAAGGTCCCTGCCAGTCCCGAGATGTTCATGATGCTCTGACTTCAGAACAGGGCAAAGAATAGAACACTGTCACACTGTCATTCCTTGATTCCAAAGGCTCCACCTTTGGGATTCCTTGATCCCAAAGGCTCCACCAGCCACTGTCCCCTATGAAAAACTATTATCATTGAGTGATGAACACTGCTACCAAATGATGACTGGTCTGTCATCTCAACCTCCATATGTGATACCAGGCTGTATGGTTGCTTTGGCCCAGGTATTGAACCTAATGGGATTTCTTAGGGCTTGGTATTGTCAGCATCAAAGGAACATAGGCTCCCTCATAAATATGCATAAAGCCTTTCCAAATCACAGGGACCAGAGAAGGTGTCAATCTGACAATTGTGTTTCTGCTTTATTTCCAAGGCTAAAAGTTGCCAGACTCAACATTGGGTTGTTCAGTATGATTAGCTTAAAGCTGCCTTTTAGTTTTTAAGCATTCCCAGAAATTGGTAAATAAAAACCTACCTTTCTGCATCTCAAAGTTGTTTTCTTTCTTCTTCTCCTCTTTGCTTAGCATTATATCCTTTAAAAAAATTGCAAAAGGTCATTTTGACAGGGGCTTTGCTGTAGGGTTTTATAGGTATCATTCATTTGGCATCTGTCATTACTCTGTTGTCTGTTTCTGGTGAGGATTATCATATAGACTCAAATCCTGTCACTAATTCCATCATTCCGATTGGGAGCCCATGGCTCTGACAGATGAGCTGACAGCCCAGAAAGCCCAGGGGAGAATCTGGAAGCAAAATTCCGGCTTTATTATCTCTATTCCAGTGCTCTCTCCAGACCAGAGGTGGCAATACTGACCCTCCCTATGACCCCAACCTCCCTGGCTTTGACAGGTATTGACAACTAATGTTGAATGGGGAGGTGACTCTACCCTGGGAACTGGTGTATGGAATATTATTAAATATAAAGCATGCTATTTATTAGAATAAAATTGGTCTGAAATCTCATAAGAAAAGGTAATAGAAAGTTTGAAAGTTTGATCTTGGGAGAGAAATCTCCGACTATGAAAAGACCATTTTAAATTTTGTTATCCCTCTCAATGGGCTGAAGAGATTCTCTTGTTGACGGTTACTCTGTATGGCCTGTATTTATTTAGAATAATCAGCATTTAGGAAATGCAGGTCACCTCTCAATGCTGCTGATGTTCAAAGGCAAATGCTACACTTTAAAAAATTGTTTTCACTTATAAACTGAAGGAAGGCTAGAGGTACTTCAAGAAGCCAACAGGGACTTCCAACAACACAGGTTGGAAGGTAACACAGACTATTGTTGCCATTTTTAAGAGACTGAACAAAAGGCCTAGAGGATTTGACTGGTCAGTATGAGGCTGAGATTTAAACCAAGGATAGAAACTGATATCACATTCACAGGTCCAGCTCAGCTCATTCCACCTCTCTATCCTGTGAACACAAGTGAAGAAGATAGTAGTGTTTTCACATCTTGTGATAATCCAAGTCCTGTGCCCCTTCCCACTCCTGGGATCAACTGTCTATAGAAACCTTCCTTTTCCTACCCCCCACAGAAAGGATTTGTGTTGTCACTGTTGAGTGTCTTGCTGCGGGCTCAGCTCAGTTGCCAGATGTGAGGGCGTTGGTCAAAGAGCCCCAAAGGGAACCTGGGCCTCGGAACGCTCACATGGGCCCCAGAGCTTCAACTTTCCATTTGAGCTGAAGTGCGACACTATGAAGATGCAGCGACAGGAAAATGTTTGTGAGATCACAAGTAAACAAATGACTTTTAGTGTCTTTTCAAAAACTGGAGTGTGATGATTGAGGTTGAGATACTTTTAGGCTAGGTGGTTGCATTGGTGTCGAGGCCTGGCCAAGATGAAAACATGAAGTCAGCAAAGCTTGTCTTTTATGAGCCCAGCCTTGCCTTTTCGTGAATTTTCCCCCAGCCACACTCCCCAGAGCCTTTTTTTTTTTTTTTTTGCTTATCTTTCTAACTCAACTAAAATATTTTTCAAAGTGGACTTTCAGCAAATCCGGGATTAGTTATTTCTCTCCAAGTGGGTATTCTATGTGACAGGTATAGACAGGTTATCCTTGAACTCGAAAAGGAAGTGCCTTGACCCTTGCAAAGGCATCTCAGGCATTGGTGGGAAGATCATTAAACTGATCATTCTAGCAGGGTGTGAGGTGAGTAGTAAGTTTTAATGTGAAATTACTCTATTGAAAATTATACCTCTGCTTACCCTAACATGAACCCTGAATCTCATCTTCCCCTCAAAATAACAGCTTGGTGCTACTTGCCTCAAGAAATAAATCCCTTGTCACTAAAGGTGTTCAAACAGAAATTGGATGACCACTTTGTAGGGACGGTGGAAAGAAGACTGAAGTTCAGAATTGAAAGCTGGATCTGATGACCTCTAAGACTCCATCAAGCTCTATGACTTGAAGCCCCCAAATTCAAACTTGAGGTTGTTCAGGACCAGCCAAATTGTGGCCCAGAAAAAAAAAGCTTGCTAACATTAGCTGAGAAAATACAAATTCAGTCTGAAGCTATTCTGTAGTTGGCCTGTTGAGTTAAAAAATAGTCTAAAATATTGTTTTAAAGTGCAAAGTTTAGGGCAAGGGGTATTGGAAAGGGGATTAGTAATTGGAAGAGGAGGATTGGGTAGCTCGAGGTCTCTGTATCTAATCACTGCACACATCCTAGGTACAAATGACTTTGACTAAGGTTCCATGTAAGGAGGAGATCCCCAGGGTCCTGGTTGACATGCCTGAGAAGGTCTGCCTTTTTAGAATATGAAGCTTCAGAGCTGTCACTTTAAAAAATACAGGTATAAACAGGGAGGCCAAACTGACTATATTATTTACTCTTATACTGGTAGCGGATTTTGGAAACTTTACATATCCAACCTGAAATAAAACCGTGAGGAATTGGCAATTCAACTGTAAAATTTCAGTAAGAAGGTGAGGGAGAAGAGGATCAACAACAAACTGCTCTCACTGCCATTGGGGGGAACTGAAGGCTAATCACATAATTACAGAATGTCAGAGCTGACAGTACCCTTACAGATCATCTCAGTTATAGATGAGAAAACTGAAGCCAAGAGAGGCTAAGTTATTTGCCAAAGTCACACAGCCAAGCACATTCAATATGCTATTTGGAATAATAGCCATAGTTTTGAAAGTGCCTCTATTCATATTTAAATTTGTAACATCTCCCAATACCCTGGAACACTGCCATAATCCTCCAAGAACTGACTAAATTCAAATCATATTCCATGCTGGCCAGTCTTACAAATAAAAGTTTAGCAGTTTCATCTCAAACCAAGATTAGTTTAAAGAACCTGAAAGTGAGCCACAGATTTGAACCACGTTCTGATCTCCCTAGGTGATTCAGGAATAAGCATTTAAAATCTTTGCTAATGGATTAAAGTATATATCAAAGTCAATATGGAAGGGCAGGAATAAACTCAGAAGTAAAATCTTACACCCTGTATTCCTGCATTAAATTACACATCATCTACATGTGAGAACCATTTTCTGTTGGTGTATCCAGATACCACCCACTTAGAACAGAGCTGCCCTCGACGTGGAATGTTGCCTCCTAGACATGACCACTAGGTGAGCTGAGGGCCAAGGGTATTTGGCTCAATGTTCTGAGAGGAAAATGGGCAGAAAGAATTCTTGATGCTCTGCCCCAGGAGAAAGAGCCCATAGACCCCATGTCTGAGATGACAAAGTTAATATAAATATCTAAAATTTCTTGTTTTAGGTATCCTTTATAGGCCACAGTAACTGCAGTGACTTCATGCTGGCAACTGACCTGGTGGGCTAGAAGGCTTTGACCCCACTCTGCCTCTGGTCATGACTGGCCCTGGAGAGGACTAGCTTCATGAGCAAGTGGTATTAGGTGGGATCTGCTTTGAGAATATCCATTACCTGCTCCCCACACCTTTCCCCACAATAAAAGGAAAAGACTTCACTTTCAGGACATCTGAAATTCCATTATTGAAGAAGCCCAAGAGACTGTTATCAGTGTTCAGAAGTTCCCTCACTTGTTTCTTGCCAACACAGCAGCTGCCAATAACTACTGCATCCCTAAGAAATGGGGACCGGGCAACCCCTTCGGGTCCCTTCCCATTGTGGGAGCTTTTCTGTTCTCTCAATAAATCCTGCGTTCTAAAGAAAGAAAGAAATGGGGGATCAGACCATGGATCCATTGTGAGAAGGCATCAAGGTTTGGATGCAGAGATACAGAAATGCAAAAATCAGACTTGGTGGACTTCATCATTTTGCCCAGTGGTAGGTACACATATGAGCTCGTGAGTCTGTGTATTTTTCCCAGAGAGAGCCTTTTTCTGTTCTTATCAAGTAAGAATGACCACACTTTCAACTTTCTTTTCCTTTTTGACATAGGATTTTGGCTTCATTTTTGCTTTTCTGATACACACACTCATACACATACCATGCATGTGCATATATTTGTGTGCATATAACAAATGTTTAAACTTAGCCATTGTCAGATTTCAGTTTCCCTACCTAACAAATGCAGTAAAATATTTCAACGACACTTCAACCAACAAGTAACCTCCTTACCTTGACGAAGCCTTCAAACTGACTTTTAATCTCCTCACAGTTCAGTAAGGATAAGACCCCTTCTCCTTTGTAGCATCTCTGTATTGTTTTCATGAATACAAAGTCATCATGAAGATTCCTTTCATCTTCTATCTGTTTGAAAATAACAGGGATATGAGCAATGTCATTTTGAAAGAATGCCGCTAAAAACATCTGTCTTCACATTCAATTCCACACCATCTACAACGGGAGAAGGACATTGAGGAATAACAAGCTATTATACTGGCTTATTGGTATTTGGAATTTGCAGTTTAAAAATCTATAAAGCCCAGCAATTAAGATGTCATATTATCTAAAACTCTAGGTAGAAATCAGAGCTATTCTAATACATTTTCATCACAAAAATACACAGTTTTTTCAACATACTATAGCACCATTATTCTATAACTGTCATATTTCCGATTCCTCTGGTAACGATTGGTCATTATAAACACCCGTCCATAAAATAGCTTTCTGCAGTGCTATTTTGCCTGCTTCATCTTAGCATTTGTGATGCAATGCTTTATACAAAGAAGTCAATTTGCAATGTCAGTTAACTTGAGTTCTAATTACATCTCTCTCTCTTTTTAACTTAAGTATTTTAGAAAACATTTTCATCTTTAAAGAAATCATTTTTCATCCTCAACGTTAACGAGATGTTTTATTTTCCAATGTCTTAGAATAATTAAATGTATAGAATTCACTTGTATCATCAACAAATTTTGCACCATTTTCTTATTTTAGGAGTATATTTTTTTAGATTCTAAACAAGATCCAATTAGCTGGCAGCTTTTGTTGTCATTAAGATCACACCCAAATATTATGGTACATTTGAGTCTGCCCAGGTCACTACTTCCCCTTTAAAGGCTAGGCCTATGTCCAGGCATTTGATTGACAGAGCATACCAGGTCAAACACAAACAAACAAACGACCAGACCAGAAGACCCCTCTCTCCCCAGTGGTAAAACCTAAAATTTGTGTAACCTAGTGGATCGCTTGAATTCTCATTGCCTCACTTTATCTTGATAGAAAATATCATGGTCTTAATTCCAGGTCTGCATCCTAAGAGAGGACACCAAGCATCCCTAAGAACATGCAGTCATCCAGCCACAGTTCCCACATTCAGAATTTTAGGAACAACCTGATAATTGATCAGTTTTCTCCTTTACATCTACTTGTATGACTGGCATTGTGTCAATACAACCAATAATGCTTCTTAGTGGAAATGAATAAATACATGGAAACAAAATAAATCCTGATGGCTATCTTTTCCTAAGAATGAAAAACAACCTAAATTACTCTATTTTTTTCATTTGTTTCTGCAAGTCTAACCCCTTAAGAATGTAAAACATCTCCAAGGGAAACTGAGTATCTTGCATCTATAATTAGTGCTTGAAGAATTATATAAAGAATGCCATTTATACTCAAAGACTGCAAATTTTGGGACTTATCCATTTCTATGTTAATCTGAATCACTATGAAGTTTAGATCAAATTGTTACCCTCCTTCCCTGGTTTTAAATCTAATGGAAAAAGTTGTCTTCCTCAGAAAACAAAATAGCTTACTTTTTAAGCAAAACTTTAGCAAATAATTAAAGTTAGTGCATATGTCACGTTTACTGTGTGTCGGGCACTGTTCTGGGCTCTTTACAAGGCTAAAATCACTTAATCTATGACTACCATTGCCATCCTCATTTCTCAGATATGGAAACTGAGGCACAGAAATAACTTGCCCTGGAATTACAAAGATGCTGGAGGTAAAGCCAAGATTTGAACCCAGGCTGTCTGACTCCAAATCCCAAGATCCTAACCAGAGACAAGAATATGAGACTTCACTGACTAGACAACAAACATTACACCACAAAACCATTTATCTATTTGGGTTTCTACCATTGTCCACCATTTGGGCATAACTAAAACAAGCCAACCCACAAATCAATAAGGATTCCAAACTGAGTTAATAAATACTTTTGTTTCATCTTACCTTGTCCAATCTTCTATGAAGATACACAGCAAAAAGCGCAGACCCAATCATCTGGGTAATAAGAAAAATAGAAAGTAAATACATAAAAATTTTCATGCTGACAGGTGGTCCAGTGGCCGCAGATCGGGGAGAAGGTTGGCTGTACGTTTCGATCATACTGTGTTAAAGCTGAAATGGTATCGTCTGACCTAGAAGGTGGCAGAGGCAGCATGAGAAGATTCTCAAAGTGGCCACCTTACTCAGGATTAGTTAAGAGCACACAATCGTCTCAGCCCACACTTCCTGGAAAATGTGCTTCGTAGTCTTCTCTCCCAGCAAAAAAGTTACGTAAAGGTTTTTTTTTTTTTTTAAATTATACCCATATCATTCACTTCCAGGCTTTCCTTTTTGTTAGTAAAGAAGAAACAAGTTTCTTCTTCCATACATTCATTCTTGCCTTGAAATGTCATAGACTTCTTCACAGACAATGGCAGTATTTTCCTATTGCTGTCTAACTTTTTGGGTTCACCAGTTTCAAGGAAAGTGACAAATTCATCCACCAGCAACAGACTTATTTCAATTTCAATTTTACTAATACAAAGCGGGAACCTGGTATATGGGGAAAGAAATATATATGTCAACAAAAGTTTGGATTGATTTTATGACCAGTATGCCACTAGCCAATTGCTTTTCAAGACTTTACTTCTTTATTTTATTTTATTTATTTATTTTATTTGCAACAGGGTCTCATTCTGTCACCCGGGCTGGAGTACAGTGACATAACAACTGCTTGGGCTCAGGTGATCCTTCTGCCTCAGCCACTGGAGTAGCTGGGACTACAGGAGTGTGCTACCATGTCTGGCTAATTTTTTTTTAATAGAGACAAGGTCTTGTTATCTTGCCTAAGCTGGTCCCCAACTCCTAGAATCAAGCAATCCTCCAACCTTGGTGTCCCAAAGTGCTGGGGCTACAAGTGTGTGCCACCATGCTCAGCTACTTCTTTAACCTTTACACTCAATGAAATCCCAGCAGTTTTTCAGCATTTACATAACATAAAGCAAAAAAAAAAGAGTGCTGACTATTATTAAATAAAATTTAGCTGGAAAGCTAATGCAAGGAAAATAAATTTATCAAATGCAAAGGTTAAATAGAATCTCAAGGGAAATCAGGCCAAGAGTCTGAAGTTAGAGCAAAAATGGTGACTTGACTTAGCCAAGTTGCCTATCTACACTGTTCCAATCCATCAGATAATTGCTGATGCTGATGTAATGGTTCAGAATAGGGAAAAGAGGCTGCAGTTAAGAGGTCTAGATTCTAGTGTTTGCTCTCTCAATAAATTGCTATGGACCTTGGACAAATCACTTCACCTCTTTAGATCCGTTTCCTCATATCCAAAAGGGGCAGTAGCACCGGCCTTTCCTACCCCATAGGTTGTTGTGAAGACCAAATGAAGACGTGCATGAAAGAGATTTGAAACATGTCAAGTAATAGACAACTCTCATCTCAAAATTGTTGGAATCTGCTTGGCCCAATAAATGAGTTTTCCAAAAAATTGCCAACTCCTTACACACTGACAAAAACCAAACAAACAATAACAACACTCAAAACACCTAAAGTTTTGACAACGAATTGAATCATTGAGGTATGTAGGATTACACATTTCTGAATGACTTTCGCATTATCTTATCAGATTGCATTCAAACTAACAGCAGCTGTGGAAACCCCTACCCCACATCCCAACCTGGTCTAGAAACCATGATAAAATTGCTTTGGTGAATCCTATAAAATTGTTTTGAGAGACAAATAGGAAATGTAAAAACTGCTCTGATAGTCATGCTGTCTATATAGTTAGCACCTGCTTTCTTCTCCGCCCACGCCCCAGCATCCTGTCCTGGGCCCGGATCTGTGTAGCTTTTCATTACATCTGCCAAGTAGGTGGCTTAAATGCACGTGACGAACTTTGATCAGTCAAGTCAAAGGCTTTGGTTCTTAGAGACAAGTAACCTTAGTTCCACTGAAGGAAAATCATCATGGGAGCCAAAGTGGGCTCAAGGGCCTCTCCAAGGCCAGTTTCATACCATTACAGAATACCAGAGCTGCAAGGGCCTGCAAAGGTGATTGGTTTAGACAAGCCACGAGGGAGAAGATACTAAAGGGATCACAGAGATGGATGCCTCTACTTCTTGATCTCCAGCCTTCTGCAGTCTGATTTCTGCCCACAATATTCCCCTGAAATTGCTCCCACAATTAGTTGCTCAATAGTTTTGATTGAATACTCTTCAGAGTTTATTTTTCATGACCTCTCCATTACTGTGTTGGCCTATGATTTTACTACCATCTTTTTGAATACTCTCCCCCCTTGAATTCTACACCACCGGGTTTCTGTCTCTTAGAATCCTTCTTCAAGTGAATTTCTTTGCTTTTTTTTTTTAAACTAGGAAACGTAGATTTATTAAAGGAAAGATACATTGTGAAGGGCACAACGGGCAGAGCAACAGCAAGAGTGTCTGCTGTCTGTTGCCTTCTTTGTTGTTTTTGTTTGTTTGTTTTTAGTTGGAATCTTACTCCATTGCCCAGACTGGAATGCAGTGGCACACTCACAGCCATCCCCAGCGTTGACCTTCTGGGCTCCAGGGATCCTTCCACCTACTTGAATTCTTCCAGGTAGCCGGAATTACAGGCGCACACTGCCATGTCCTGCTAATTTTTGATTTATTTAGAGACGAGGTCTCACCAAGTTGCCCAGGCTGGTCTTGAACCTGCGGGCTTAGGCAATCCATTCGCCTTGGCCTCCCAAAGTGCTGGGATTACAGGCTGAGCCGCCGAGCCTGGCCTTCTTTGCTCTTCATACTTCCTAAAACTTTGGTATTCTCTCTCCTCACTTTTTCCTCTCCTCCCTTCTCCTCTCTCCTGCTCTCTTTTCTCATTCTCCATAATTTCTCCAAAATCCCTTCCATGGTTTCTTTTTTTTTTACTAGTATGTACTTTGTGATAAATGCCAAATCTAAAACCACAGCCCTGAACTTCAGACTTATAAGAGTTACCTCTGAATATTTTTACTTAGACATCCCAAGGCCACTCCACACTGGGCATGTCCCAAACTTAACTCATCTCCCCACTCTATTTCCAACCCAGACCTGTTCTCTCCCTTAAGGTTCTACAAATCTCAGTGAATGGTCCCATCACTCACCTAATTGCTCAAGTCAGAGATTTGGGAGTCATCCATGGCTCCTTCCTGTCTCTTGACTCAGATTGCCCCAATTCCAGTCTCTTTCTCCCCAAACTTCTGGGTTTTCACCTCTACTCTCCTCGCCACCTGCCAACAGCTTAGTCCAGGCCGACATAGTCTCTCTTTTCTAGATTGCTGAACTGTACTATCCTAATTTATCTCCTTGCTTCTCTTCCTGTCCCATCCCATCCATCTTCCACACTGCCAGCAGAATGCAAATTCTAAAACTTACAAATGACCATATTATCTAATCCGATTTGACCCTCTAATACTCTTCTTGATCCAAGGATGTAACTGACACAATGCCCTGGCATACTCAACATGAATGAAATTGGCTCAAGAATGCTCTGCTTGTTCCTTAATTCTATTTTTTTTTTTTTTTTTTTTTTGAGTCAAAGTCTCACTCTGCTGCCCAGGCTGTAGTGCAATGGCACAATCATGGCTCATCACAGCCTTATCTCCTGGGCTCAAATGATCCTCACACCTCAGCCTCCCACAGTGCTGAGTTTACAGGTGTGAGCCACTGTGTCTAGGCTTGTTCCTCAATTTTTGAAACCTCCCCTTTCTTCCATCTTTCTGCCGGTTCTCTAGCTTGATGCCACAATTGACTACTTTCCAGTTTCCAAACTTAAGCTCTGTTTTCTGAATTCCAATTTTAGAATCCCTTTGTGTCACGACCTCCCATACCTCTCTCTCCCCAACAAGGAGTGGATTGGTTGTGGTGATGGATCCCCTTTTAAAATCTTCAGCTGCCTGATGCAACCAGAAATGATTATCAAACTTAGTTTCCAATAAATTTATAAGAATCACGGAGTGCATGAAAGTGCCTGTAGCCACATCAAATATTGGCCATCTTTTTCTTAGTTTACAGAAAGAATTAAGTTAATGAATTGAAGTATCATTTTTTAGTTTTTTTTACACGGAATTTTTTTACACAGATTAAACATTTTTTTAATCTGTCACCTTTTTTCTACTATTTTTCTGCTAGTTAGTGATTGACATGTAACAAATACATATCAAGAAAAAAATAAGAAAAACAATGGATCATACTTCAACAGCTTGTTTTTGATGTGAATATGCTTGTGGTTGTGATTTGATATTGATAACCTAGAACACAGTCATAGTTTCTGCTAGGAAAATTCTTTCCAGTACATATGAAAGAGTTAAATATATCAGTATTTTGTTTGTTCTATGAAGGACCTCACAAGGGTTCTTTTCCCTGAATATGTCTGGAAAACTCTAAAAGAAAGGGTCTCAATTCTTAGTAAGATAAATGAGCTGACCCCTGCCCACATTCCTCTCAGCTTTCACAACTCATTCAGGCTCAACCCTGAGCATCAAGCATATTAAGCTGGTTTTATTTCCTTGGAAGTGCTGTGCTTGTTCATGCTGTTTCCTCTGCGCAGGCTGATTTCTTCTTTTCTTATCCATGAATATTGAAGTGAAATGTCCGGTCTCGGCCAACAAGTTGCCTTCTTCTGTGCTTAATCTACTATAGCATTTGCCACATCACATCATAATAGGTTTGTTTGATTTTTCTGCCATTAGCCTTCTGCCTCAGCCTTCCAAGTTGCCAGAACTATAGGAGCGTGCTACCACACCCAGCTAATTTTTGATTTATTGTAGAGACGAGGTCTTGCCAAGTTGCCTGGGCTGGTCTCGAACCTACGGGTTCAGGAAATCCACTCGCCTCGGCCTCCCAAAGTGCTGGGATTACAGGCTGAGCCACCGATCCCGACCTTCTTTGCTCTTTACACTTCCTAAAACTTTGGTATTTCATCTCCTCACTTTTCCCTCTCCTCCCTTTTCCCCTCTCCTGCCCTCTTTTCTCATTTGCCATAATTACTCCAAAATCACTTCCATGTTTTTTTTTCACTAGTATGTTCACTGTGATAAATCCCAAATCTAAAACCACAGCCCTGAACTTCAGACTTGTAAGAACAACTACAAGTTCTTAATCTGTGCTTAATCTATTATAGCATTTGCCGCATCACACATCATAATGGACTTGTTTGATTTTTCCACCATTAGCTCTTAGAGGAAGGAGACAACTTTTTTTTTCCTTTAAATCTTAGAATCCTTGGTTCCTAATACATTGCAAACAATTAGTAAGTATTTG